TCAGGACGAAAAGGACGGGGTGCTCGTCCAGGTCCTCGTTCCTGAAAGCCCGCGCTTGAGGGGCGGCGGCCGCGCCTCCGGCCCATCCGGCGGGGAGAGCGGGCAGCGCGCAACGGCCCCAGAATCTCCTCCTCGTCTTCATTCTCGTCAGTACCATCATCACATCATGATGTTCGTCGTCACCATCACCATCGTCGTCATCATCACCATTATTGGCATCATCATCACCATCGTCATCATCAGCATTCTCGTCATCATCACCAGCATCGTCATCGCCATCTTCAGCAGCATCATTGGAATCAGCATCATCATCGCCACCACCGCCACCATGGTCGCCATCATCGTCACTGCCATTGTTGTCATCACCCTCCTCACCATCATCCGAATCGGTGCAAGATTAAGAGTAATAATGATTGTTGCATGATAGTTGTTCGTACTCATCATCGCCATCACCATCATCACCAGAATCATCATCATCATCATCATCATCAGCAGCAGCAGCATCATCATCACCACCACCACCACCATCACCATCATCATCACTATCAGCAGCAGCAGCATCATCACCGGCATCAAAGGCATCCTCATCATAATCCGCCGACCCCCTGGGTTCACGGCGTGTGAGATGCTTCCCCGTCCCCAAACCCCTATCCCAGGGGCCCGGTCCGGCCGGTTCGGACAGGGGGGGGAGGGGCAAAGGTGCCGGCCGCACACCTGGAGTTTCAAGAGGCCCCAAAACTGGCAAAAAAGTTCAAAAGGGTCCCGGAACGCTCAAAGAGAGCTACGAGTCCACGAAAAATCGTTCCAAAACGCATAGGATTGCCTCCCTACGGCCCCATCAGTCCTCAGGACTCTTGAAAAAGTACTACGAGGCGCCCCACAAAGGCCCCCCAGAAGCAAACATCGTTGCATTTCCTTTGGAAAACGTACATTTTCAGCACATTCGCCCTTGGGGCTTCCACGCGGCCCACAACGGCCCAAGAAGCCTCCAAGATCGACCGACCCTCCGCAACCCAAGAGGCTCCCAAAAAAGGCTCCACAACGGTTTCCACGCGATCCACGAAGGCTCCAGAAACCATAGCAACGCCCGGGAGCCGCAGGACGGTCCAAAAAAGGCTCCGAAACGGGCCAACAGGGTCCTCAAAGGCTGGCCAGACAGCCCACGCGGGGGACGATTCGGTCCAAGCCGCCCAAGATCGCGAAAACGCTCCAAGAGGGCATCCAGGAAGCAAGAATCGTCCCATCCCCTACGGAAAAACTACATTTTCAGTACACTCGCCTCTTGGGCTTCCAGGAGGCCTACAACGGCCCAGTAAACCTCCAAGTTCGACCCCCGACACCCCCACAGGCTTTCAAAAAGGCTCCACGACGGCTTCCGGGCGCACCACGAAGGCCACAGAAACCACAGCGACGGCCCAGGACAGTCGCAGGACGGCCCCACGAGAGCCCCACAACGGGTCAAGAGGGTCCCCAAAGGCCTCCGGGCGCCCCACCAAGGCCCCAGAAACAGCCGCAACGGCCCAGGAGAGCCGCAGCACGGCCTCACGAGGGCCCCAGAATGGGCCAAGAGGGTCCCCAAAGGCCTCCTGGACGACCCACGAGGGCTAAGAGTCGTCGAGAGATCGCACCAAGACGCTCCAGATTGCCTCCTGGCGGTCCTACAAGCCCCCGAGACAGCCCAAGTGGACAACAAACATTTCCAGCAAGTTCGCCTCGAGGCCCACAACAGCCCAAGAAGCCTTCCAAATCGACCCAATACAACCCAAAGAGGCTCCCAAAAGGATTCCAGGACAGCCCAAATGGGCACCAAGAGGCCCTGGAAGCCACCAAACCGACCCAGGACGGCCCTAGGACGGCGCCAAAAAAGTGCCAAAATGGGCCCCACAAGGCTCCCCGCCCGCCATTGCCTCCAGCTGACCCCACAGGCCCCCTAGACGCCCCAACGCGCCACCAGGACGCGCCCCAAGAAGCCTGGCAGAACCAAACCTCGGCCCTTTTCCCGAAAGGAAAAATTTCAGTTTAACACATCCGCCTGTTGAGCCTTCACGAGTCCCACAGCAGCCCAAAAAAAACCCGCATGCCCCCAAGAAGGCTCCCAGACGGCACAAACGGGACCCAACAGGGCCCCCGAAGCCACCAGGGGGAGCCCCGGGACGGCCCCAAGCGGGTAAGAAGAGCAACCCGAATGGAGAATTCGAGCACTTCGCCCCGAGAAAACACGAAAAGGTGCTTAAATCCGCCGACCCCTTGGGGTTAATCGGCGCGTGAGATTTTCCCCCTCCCAAAACCCCTCCCCCGGGAGCCCGGTCCGGTCGATGTGGAGGAGGGGGGGGTCTGTTCAAATTCCCCGGTTCCCCCAGTTCCCCCGGTTACCCCGGGGGGGTCATCCGCTCCCGAAAATCCTGCAGGGACTCCTCCGGTGGCCTCGAAATGGCCCTGGGACGCACCACGACGGCTCAAGAGGACCTCCACGTGGCCTTCGGTGGCTCCAAGATTCCCCAATACAGGCTCAAGACAGCCCAGGATGCCTCCAAAACGCTCCAAGAGGCCCCGAAGGGGCGCTCCAAGAAGGTCCAAAGCAGCGAGAGTTATGGATTTTCCACGGGGAAACGTACATTTTTAACATCGACGACTTTTCAGCCTGCACGGAGTTCCAGCCAGTCTAAGAGGCCCCCAAGGCCACCCCATGACGTCCCAAAAGGATCCCAAAAGGCGCCCAAGACAACCCAAAACGGCGCCAAGACGGCCCCAGAGGCTCCCGAATCGGCCCAAAAGAGTCCCAAGACGGCTCCTAGAGGGGCCCCAGCGGCGGAGCCCGAACCGAAAATCCGAGCCCTCCGCTCCCACCTGGCCCTGGGACACCCCACGAGCCGCCCAAAAGGTCCCAACAGACCCCCAAAAGACCTCCAAAAAGCGCCCGAGAGGACCAAAAGAAGCCCCGAGAGGTCCCAAAACGGCTATCAGTGAACTTCGAAACTACCTCCACGAAGCCTGCGAGATGCCTCCCCAGAGATCCCAGCGAACACCGCACAAGCCTCAGACCCACAACCCGGGCACGGTGGCGTGACATGCCGACTGTAAGTAGATCGTGTTTCCAGTTCCTCTCCCTCCTCCTCTTCACCACCCTTTTCCTCCCTCATCCCTCCGCCCTCCTCTCCCTCTCCTTCCCTTTTGCATCCTCTCTTCCTTTCCCTCATCCTCTTTCCCCAGCCTTGCCCTCCCCCCCCCATCCTCCTTCCTCCGCCTACCCCTAGGTCCCGGCGGTCAGATTCCTCGCAACTTCCGTTGCTTGCCGCCGTGCTCGTCACTTGCCTCCGCAGGGCGCTTCGGCGGTTCTCTCCGCGGCGCCCGCCCCGTCTTCTAGCACTTCGCGCAAACCACCGGAGAGTCCCAAGACGGCTCCTAGAGGGGCCCCAGCGGCGGAGCCCGAACCGAAAATCCGAGCCCTCCGCTCCCACCTGGCCCTGGGACACCCCACGAGCCGCCCAAAAGGTCCCAAGAGACCCCCAAAAGACCTCCAAAAAGCGCCCGAGAGGACCAAAAGAGGCCCCGAGAGGTCCCAAAACGGCTATCAGTGAACTTCGAAACTACCTCCACGAAGCCTGCGAGATGCCTCCCCAGAGATCCCAGCGAACATCGCACAAGCCTCAGACCCACAGCCCGGGCACGGTGGCGCGACATGCCGACTGCAAGTAGATCGTGTTTCCAGTTCCTCCCCCTCCTCCTCTTCAGCACCCTTCTTCTCCCTCATCCCTCCGCCCTCCTCTTCCCCCCCTTCCCTTTTGCATCCTCTCTTCCTTTCCCTCATCCTCTTTCCCCCGCCTTGCCCCCCCCCCCCCCCCCATCCTCCTTCCTCCACCTACCCCTAGGTCCCGGCGGTCAGATTCCTCGCAACTTCCGTTGCTTGCCGCCGTGCTCGCCACTTGCCTCCGCAGGGCGTTTCGGCGGTTCTCTCCGCGGCGCCCGCCCCGCCTTATAGCACTTCGCGCAAACCACCGGATTGTCTCGCTTGAAAAATTATCCCCCTGGTCTTTCGACAGATGGCCCCCGTCAGTGAACGCGGGCTTCGACCCGCCCCTTTTCAGGGAACACGCAGAGCAGTCAAACATCTTCGCCACCCTCCTTTTGCCGTGGCACGCGCGGCGCACCACCAAGCGATGGCCAGAACCCTCCGCGAAGAAGCGCTCCACTTGCTTATACGTCAGATGTGTCCTGTCCGCGAACTCTCGCCCTTTCCCATCGGCATCTGTCGGGCGCGCGGAACACCTGAGCACCCGCGACTGCTCGCGTGTTTCGCGGCACGCGCGGCGCACCACAGGGCGATGGTCCGAACCCGTCGCGAAGAAGTGCCCCACTTGCTTATCTGTCAGATGCGCCCTGTCCGCGAAGTCTCGCCCTCTCCCATCTGCTTCTGTCGGGCACGCGGAACACCTGAGCATCCGCGACTGCTTGCGTTTTTCGTGGCACGCGCGGCACGCCACCGGGCCATGGCCCAAACCCGTCGCGAAGAAGTGCCCCACTTGCTTATCTGTCAGACGCGCCCTGTCCGTGAACTCTCGCCCTCTCCCATCTGCTTCTGTCGGGCACGCGGAACACCTGAGCACCCGCGATCCCTTGCGATGCGCTTAGCATGCACGGCATTTCACTGGCCTATGGCCGGCGCCCGTTGAATAATGCACGTTGACTTGATCCGTCGTCAGATGCCCCGCGCCCGCGAATTCCCGCCCTCTTCCGTCTGCTTCTCTTCGGCACGCCGAACACCTCAGCGGCTGTTGCTGGCGTGGAATGTGTCGAGCAGTGTTCGCGCCATTCACGCACTCCGTTTCCTTCTGCGATTTGCTCCACTCGTTCCATCCGCCGTTCCTCTTCCCCGCGCACTTCTTGCAGAGCTTCTCCCCTGCGCCCTTCGTCGCGCACTGGTTCGCCGTAATTTCTGCCTCCGTCTTAACGAATTCCGTGCATTCTGCGCAACGGACCTTGAATTTCCCACGCACGTTCTCCTGCCACCCTTGCAACTCTTTCCGCGACTTCCTTCGGGATGCTGGCCCTGCGCGCCGGTCGCATTTGCTTGTCCGCACGAACACTCTGTTCCTTCCGGACTCGGCCCCCGCCACTCTGGACGCCATCTCGGCCCATTGCTCACAAGTCGCGCACCAGTTTTCCCCTGCCACCCTCAACATCTCCGTGCACACGCAGCAGAAGCTCGGGCCCGACTTCGCGCCGAACTCATTCGTTGTGAATTCAGCCTTTGTTTTCACCTTCCAACATTTCCCGCATGTCTTCCGCGGCATCAACCTCTCCTCGAGTTCGGACCACGGCAACGCTTCCCCCCGCAACTTCTGTAACAACAGCCTCGTTCCTTCCAAGCCTCCCTACGTGCACGGCTGTCTCGAAAATGGCCGATATATGAGCAGGCCGCGGCGAGTCTGCACGCTCGTTATGGCCACGTAGCTCGACATCCAGCTGACGTTCCTGCGTTCCTCCAGGTCCGCTATTACCGCGTCGAGCGTTCGCCCTTGCGCTGCGCGCGCCGTGCACGCCAGACCAAGCGAAATTATAAGCTGTCTCCGTCGCACCCCAACACGGGCTTCTTTCGATACGAGCCCAGATGCCACGCCCGAGCACGAGGGACAATGGGATACAGCCCTGGCCCCGGCATCCCTTTGAGCGCCCACCTCTCGGCGTGAAAGTCCAGCACGATTTGCCTTGGCATCTTACGAAGCACTCCCGACGAAACGTCCTCCACGGCTTGTTTCTTCTTCATCCACCACCCATGAATGTATCGTCGCGCGACACCCTCGTAGCAATTGCTTCTCTGATCGGTCCAAGTGGTCCGTCAGTACAACTGGCACGCCCACGGCGAGCGGTAACCATCCTGGCACGTCTGCACAGACCTTGTCGTGGTATCCGAGCCACCGCATTTTGTCTGCTGAGGTGCAAGGTCTTTCCTGGTACGTCGCGTGCGTTGCCTTGCCCCGCGCATAAACCCACGAAATATGTTTCTTCTGGCACGCAGCCCAGCCCACGGCCCGTTGCCGCGCTACCTTGCAATTCACATCCTGATTCGGATAAATGGCAGTGGCTTCAACGAACTGCGGAAGTGCGAACCGTTCGTCCGCAGCAATAGTGGCTACGAGACATCGACGCTGTCTTTCCTCTGCACACTGTCCACACTCCACCTCGTTGTCCTTTGCGATAGCTTCCACGTTCCGCACGCAGGCCTGCGAACCACACATTGGCTTGTCACCCAACCAAGACCCTGGAAAGTCTGTAGGTTTCCCATGCAGAAACTGGCGTGTCCTTTCGGCCAGGGCTCCCCGTCGGAACTCATCTTGCACTCCCAGGAACCACTCGGCCTTCTCTTCCAAACGCTTGCACTCAACCAATTCTGTCATCCCCGCCACCGACCCTGGCCCGTCGCCCCAGAAAATGTACTGACCATGATCTTCTTCGGCGCCTGGCGCATGCTGCCTCGCCTTCCGTACCCACGACGCCGGAATCGCATTCAATGGAGTTCCGCCGGAGGTTCCAACTGGTAGAAGTCTCCACAGAATAATACATTTACACCTCCAAACGGCTGGCCCACCATATCGGCGCCCACCTTCCCTTGCCTCGCTGCCGACATCACAGGCCGCAAGTGCGCATCCAGCTCTGCAAGGAAATTTGCACTGACCATGCTGATTTCGTCGATGATGATGAACCAACGCCACTGTTGAATTCGCTTCGCTGCTTCTACCTTCTTTGCACCCGGCTCTCCGCGCTTCTTACTGGTGCCCTTACTGGAGCCTACGGAGTCATCCCAAACGCGGCGCGCAACGCGTGCCCATCCAGACTGGACGCGTTCGCGGCTTGTAACGCAGCCACTTGGAAGTCCAGCCCGTGTTCCCAGCCCATGACTCCCTCGAAAACGTGCTTCCGTAAGGCGTCTACCACGAAGCTCTTCCCTGTGCCTGGGCCTCCGTGCAGCATCCACAACAACGGCTAAGAACTGCCGCTTGTACGTCGTTTTCCTGACACTCAGCGATCATCCTGTCTGCGATCCCCATCCCGCCCTCCTCGTTTACGGTCGTCGCGATCAGGGCGACCGGCTGGTCCATCACTAGCGTGACAGGGATCTTCTTGTCGAGGCAGGTGCAAATAAACTTCCGCTTGTCCTCTAACTCAAAATTCTTCCTCTGAGTAGCGAGAGCCGTCATCGACGCGGGACGGCAGTTCAGCTGCCAAAGTTGGATCCGATCGGTGGGCGCCAGCGACAAACGCCGGAAGCACTCCGCGGCCGACACATCCACCCCCCGCAGCTTGCGCCACAACGAGCCTCAAAAGCGACCGCGGGGATCACGAATAGGCCAGCTACGGCGGCCGAAGCACGAGACCGCGCCCAGACAGGGAGCAGCACGCCGTAGACCCCCGTGGGAATCGTGACGTTGCGCAGGTTCGTCAGCATGTCCTGCTGGACCGTGCCCACCCTGTAGCGCTGCTGCATCATCAGCCACAGAACCGCTGTAGAGGTAGGCGCGCCCGAGGGCGGACTGGCCGCATCTCTCGGGCAGACCGTCGCACCGCCCGCCCGTCCAGAAGTAGAAGACGACGCCCCAGTAGCGGAGCAGCGAGGACCGCATCGACGCCGCGCAGCAACGCCACAGCAGCAGCGGCAGCGCCCGCCGACGCCACCGCGGGCCCCGCCTCCGCGGCGCCGACCCGACCGAGCGCGCGACGCGCTCCCAGGGCGGCCGCTGAGCCGGCGGCCACCTCTGCACGACGATGACGACGACAACGACGACGACGAAGGCGACGACGACCTCTGCGGAAATCCCTGCGGAGGCCTCCAAATGGCCACAGAGGCTTCTGGAAGCCAGGGAGGTCGCAAAATGAGCGACCAAAAAAACCCAATCCTCGAGCCTCGAGCCTCGAGCCGAGGGTCCAAAGAGGACCCCGGCAGAACGCCCAGGAACCTCGGTCCTCGAGCTTCAATCCTCAATTGGGGAGGAAAACGACAACTGCACACCGACGCCGATTCGGGCCAGGCCGATCCTGAGCCCACGACTGGCGCGCACGCCGTCCTGGCTAAGCCGGGGGCTCGGGCCCAGGATAGGCGAGTCGGCACATAGCTTTCGCCCTCCTGGCCGAGAGAGGGTCGAGGCTCACCCTCAAGGGTCGAAGCTCGAAGATATGATCGTCGTCGTCAGCGTCGTCGTCATCGTCGTCGTCGTTGTCGTCGTCGTCGTCGCCCTTGTCGTCGCGGTCGTCGTCGTGGTGGTAAATGTCTCCTTGGAGCAACCCTGGGCCCCGTTCCAGCTCACGAACGAAGAAGGGAAGACAGGAGGAGGACGAGGAGGAGGAGGAGCCGCCCCAACGACTCAAGGATATCGAGCACGATGAAAGCGCCCCCCACTCCGTCCTCTGCCTGATCCCCCCCCCCCGCCTTCCTCTTCTCCGCGCTCTTGCGGGTTCAAAACCCACAGAGGCTCGAACGACTCACCTCACTCTTCGAACCCCCAAGACGCCAACCTCTACAGCTGCAGAGCACCACGAATGCCCCAGCACTCGCAGCTGTTCGCGGATGCGCGACCCGCAGAGTGCCACGCACAGAGCTGCGTTTCGAGGTCGAGCATTTCGAACGGGGGCAGCCGCGGCGGCCCGGCCCAATCTGCACGGATGGTATCCGACAGCAGCGTCAGCGCCGGGTCAGCCCCAGCCACGGTCACGCTGCGACCGACAAGCAGGCGCAACGCCGCCAAACCCGCGGAGCCAGCGAAGCCACGGGTCGCAACTGACGACCACCGCGCGAGCCCCAGCTGCGACAACAGCACCGGTATGAATTTAGCGGTAGATCCGCCAATTGGCAGGCCGGGCCCGCGCAAAGCAGCCATGGCTCTCGACGCGTCTCCTTGTTGAAGTAGGGCGCGTGCCGCTGGAGCTCGGCGTGCAACACCAAGCAGCAAGGATGCAAGCCGTCGAGCCTCGCGCCCTGCACGCGCCTGGGTACCTGCAAGAAGCGACCGCCCACGGCACACGCGAATACTTGGGTTCGCTACCTGAACCCCATCCGCGCGCGCGCGCAAGAGTCTCCCCACCAGGACGCCGCGATAGGATGAAGACGTGAGCGGAACGCCCACTGCCTCCACCCACGCGTCCGTCCAGAGCAGGCGCGCAGCGCCGACAGCAGCCAAAGGGGCCGAACCTTTCGCCTTCAAGCGCCGCAGCTGGCAGAGAACTGCGTGTACGTCACGAGTAGCAAGGCCCGAAACGCCGAACGGGATGAAGTCAACGACCTTATCGCCGCTCCGAATGGCGCGCTGGCTGCGCCTGATGGTGCTCTTCAGCCACGAGACAAAGCTAGCAGCTGTGACGTTTGTCATCCGGCGCAAGACGTTCCCCTTCCACTCACGCAGGCCAGCCTGCTCGCGAACTTGGCGAAAATGGTAGCGCCCAGCCATATGGATGTCGTACTTCCGCTTGTGCGTCCCGAAATCCATGCTGCATGTGCTGCACCGCCACGGAGGGCCCTCGCACCCGCCAAACATGGCTCTCACCAGCGGGCCGCCGCACCGCGGACAGCTTGGCCACACCAGCTCAAGACTGGAGCCCAAAACGGTTGCGGAGAGCGTCGAGCATCGAGGACCACGAAACGTCTGTATAGGTGTCCATCCCCCCGCCTCGGGAAACTGTTTTGTATGTCTGCCCCAGGACTCAGCAGATACCCATCATACGCATGCGTGGCTCTATGCCTTCGCCACTCTCCCCCTCCGGCATAACCGCGGCTTTCGGAGCCTCCCCGGGGTGAGTTCTGATCAAGATTTCGATGGGAATCCAGCCGTCGCCACGCGGGCCCTGGCTGTCCTGATTTTCAAATGACGAGGCGGAGGAGGAGAAGAAGGAGCAGGAGGACGAGACAAGGAAACATACACGGTGGAGAATCAAACATAAAAAAGGAGAACGACACGAAGGAGGAAGCGGAGAAGGATAAGAAAGGGGGGCCCGAACGACTCACACCAGGAGGTGAGTCGTTCGGGCCCCTTCTGGCTGTCGATATTTGCAAAGAACGGAGCGGAGGAGGAGGAGAAGGAGCAAGAGCAGGATACAAGGAAACAGACAAGGTGGAGAAGCAGGCACATGAGTAAGAAGGGCGATAGGAGAAGGAGGAGGAGAAGGAAAAGGAAAAGGGGCCCGAACGACTCACACCAGAAAGTGAGTCGTTCGGGCCCCTCTGGCTGGCGAGATTTCCAACGAACGGAGCGGAGGAGGAGAAGAAGGAGCAGGAGGACGCGACAAGGGAACAAGCAAGGTGGAGGAGCAGGAACATAAGCAAGGAGGACGATACAGAGAAGGAGGAGGACGGAAGGAGGAGGAGGGGGAGGAGGAGCAAAAGGAGGAGGAGAAGGGGGAGGACGAAAGAAAGAGCTGGGGTGGGGTCGGGGGGGAGGATGGGGAAGGAGGAGGCGGAGGAGTAGGAGAAGTAGCAGGAAGACGAGACAAGGAAACAGACAAGGTGGAGAAGCAACAAAAAAAGACTGGAGGGTGATGAGGAGAAGGAGGACGCAGAGAACAAAACGCCACAACAAAACGCGACCGACTGCGCCACCACGGCGGTGGCGGCTAACAGCACCGCCGCCAAGAGCGCCAACAGTAGCAACAACACAACGAGAGCCACGTTTGCGACCAGCACCACAATGACGTCCAACACCCACCTCTGGCAACCAGCACCAACACCCAACACAGGGGGGTGACTCCACCGAGGGAAAATTATCCTCAACTTTGGTACTGGTAATCCGCCGACCCCCGCTTGCTGGGAGTGACAAGGAGCGTAAAATAATTGGCCGTCCTCCTCCCCCGGCCCCCTCCCCCAGGATCCTGAATCTCATTCGAGCCCCCCCACCCCAAGACGGCCCCCTGACCGTCCAAGAAGGCCCCCTGACGGCCCATGAAGGAGCCGCGGACGGCCCGGGAGGGCCCCCACAGGCCCCGTAGACGCTCCAAGACGGCTCCCAAAGGACCCCCTACCAGAGCCATCCTTGGCTTTGTCCCACAACAAATGCGCCTAGTCCAGAATTCTGGAGCTCGTTGCAACCGCGGCGAAGATTTGGACGCCCGAAATGGGTACGGAACAAATGGGTACAGTGCCCAACAACAAATATTGTCCCCAACCAACGGCGGCCGCTGCTGGGCAGGCGGCCTTCTGTCTCAAGTAGACACAGGCCGCGGCGGCGCGGACAGCGAGCCCTGTTCAAAATGAACAGGAGCTGTTGTTGGGCATCGTACGCATTCTTTCCGTACCCATTTCGTCTCGAGGGAGCTCCTAATCATGAGGAGCCCCCTCGAGACCCAGAAACACAGGACAGCGCTAATGCTCCGACCCATTGACGGCTTGACGGCCACCAGGCGGCGCGTCACTCTCTCTAATCCCCCCCGGAGCCCGCAACCGAAGACTCGACCCCCCCCCTCGGACAGGAGCGAGCCTGGCACCGCAAACCAGGAGCGCAACATGATGCCCCTAGATGCACCCAGGAGGCCCCGAAAGCGCGCCGACGGGCCCCCAAAACGAACGAACCCGAAGCGCTTTCAGAACGGCTTTCAAGAGATCCTGCCCTCCCCCAAAAAATACAAGGGGTCGGCGGGTGTGGCGTAAGCCTATAAAATCAACCCAAAGGGCTCTGACGGGGATCCACAATGCCCCCGAATGACCCCAGGGCCCAGAGGCGGCCTTTCGACGACGAAAACAACAACAACAACAACAACAACAACAACAACAACAACAACAACAACAACAACAACAACAACAACAACAACAACAACAACAACAACAACAACACAACAACAACAACACACAACTCAGTGTTCTCACCACCACAGGAGGCGGGCAATACCCCCACTTTGTGGGGGGGCCGGTTCAAGCTCTACCAAATTTCCAAACGACTCTTCGCCACCACCCACACCCAGCTTCCCGCCCTATGACGTTCGGACACTTCACTTCGTGGCATGCGGACGACCGTGGCTACTATTCAGGGCCCCGCGGCCGACGACGACGGCGTGCGCGCGCGAAGAAAAAACGAATGTGTCCCGCATGGTATTATTTGACAGGGATGATGGCCCTGGCAGGTGCGCAACCGTTGTCGCAGAAGTTCGAAAAAGTTGCTCGCAAAAGCCCGTTTGACAGAAATGTTTAAAAAGTGTTGGGTTTCCTACGAATCCGCAAGAGCGCGCGGGATGAGATTTTGACATTTTTTTGTTGAAAAACCATTGGTTTTTTGATGTTTTTATGTTAAAATCGCTCCGAACACTAAGCTTTTGGAAGGATTTCGTCTTGCGCGCGCGAATGTCCACTTTACCTTATTTTTTGCAAGGGATTCTTGAAATTTGATTATATTAGAACAAGAAATGTCATTTTATAGTGTTTTTTGCAAGGGAAAACGGATTACAACAAAACAACCGGATCTGGACCCCATCCACTTTTCTGAAGCTTTCGCGAAAAAATGATGAAAATGTAGCTGCGGCCTAGGCGCGGCGGGGGGGCCGTGCACCAGGGGTCCCAACAATAATTATTCTTTAGAATTAATAATGTTCAACAACAACAACAAAAAATGGAAACACGAAGACTCTGCAGCAAAATTCTTCTCTTTTCCACACGCAGAAATCGTTCACCATGGGCCCCCCGGACCCTTCCCGGAATCCAGTCGCAATCGTTTTCCCAAATGCATCCAGCCGCGGCGACAGGGGAGGGGCCTGGACCCCCCCCAACCACCACAAACCTACCGAGTCCGACGGGCTACTCCGCACAATTTCGTTCCCCGAACCTCTTCCAAGGTCCGCCGATGCAATTTCTCGCCCCAGGCCCGTCCGGTTCTGAAAACCCTGGGGCCCAGCAACGGCCCCAGGAGACCTAAACCGATCAAAAACAAAAGCTGTTCAAACAAAAAATTCTGGAAAGGCGGCCGGAACTGCCGCGGGCATCAACCTCGATCGAAAAGAAGAAAAGAAAGACGAGGAGGAGGAAGAGGAGGAATAGGAAAAAAAGAAAGAAGATTTCGTCGTCGCCGCCGATGTCTCGCAGTTTTTCGTTGTCTTTCGACCACCCGACGCATCTTCTCGAATTCAGCCTCCAGGAACCGTTTTCGGTGCCCGGGACCACCACCGAGGGTCGGGGATGAGGATCGACCTCCCTGGCCAGTGCCACCTCTTCAAAAAGGAAGGAACACGGGGTGGATCGAGCCTCGAGGCATGCGATTCCTAGTTCTTGGGCGCTCTCCGCCCCTTCTGGGCCTTCAGGAAGCTCCTCGTCGACACAGCTGTGTCCACTCTCGAACTTCTGGCCGAACGCACCCCCAGCTGGGTCTCAACGATCCCCGAGCCGATCCAGGGGGTGGAAAAGGAGGCCTGGGACAGATCCCGTGAAGGCCCCAAGAAACCCACACAAGACCACGAAAAACTTCAAAACAATCCCCTATAAGGCCCCCCTTTTGAACCTCAAACGCTACGTAGGACAAGCCGAAACCCCAACATTGCCCAGCGATCGCGCGCGTTCCGAAAATTCCATCTTTCATGCTGCCGCCCCAAGGGGTCGGCGGTGCGGCGTAAGCCAATGAATCATCGTCGTCGTCGTCATCGTCACCATCAACATCACCATCACCATCAGCATCATCATCATCATCATCCTCCTCCTCCTCCTCCTCCTCCTCCTCCTCCTCCTCATCATCATCATCATCATCATCATCATCATCATCATGATCATCATGATCATCATCCTCATCATCCTCATCATCATCATCATAGTCGTCAACACCAACACCATCACCATCACTATCACCATCATCATCACTATCACCATCACCATCCCCTTCACCATCATCATCAACAACATCATCATAACCGTCATCATGCCCATCAGTATCATAATCGTCACCATCATCATCAGCAGCATCATCATCAGCATCAGCATCATAATCATCATCGCCATCATCTTCGTCGTCATCGACGTCATCGTCGGCGTTGGCGTCATCATCGTCATCGTCGTCGTCATCATCTTCATCACTCCCCTGAACTGCTCTGCTCGCAAGCGCCATCCCTGGCACGATACGCGGGTCCTCTCGCCAGAGTCTCCATCCCTCGTAAGCCCGCAGCCGCCCGCAATGGCGGATGAGAGCGAGGGGGCGGGCGGGCAAACGCAGTGCAGAACTGCGCGCCGCAGGCCTCGATTCTAGCAAAACGGTGTGGGTGGGTCGGGGGCGCATCTTCGGCGGGTCGGCGGGCGAATCGCGCAGCGAGTACGGGTCGCGGAGCGGGCCGCGGGTGGGTCGCGGGGCGGGGCGCGGGTGAGCCGTGGGGGGCGGGGCCGACGACAAGGAGAGCAAGAGACCCGACCGCCGCATCCCCCTTCAGCCACGCACCCAAGGACCGTGCAAGACCCCTCGGCCCCTTTCACTCTTACGCAGGTCTCTGCCACTGGCAGGCTCTATGCTTCGCGGAATACGCGGGGCTCGACCGCTGGTGGGCACTCTCCCTCGCACTTTGACCTCCGTCGCGTCTGGGACCCGCCCCTTGCAAATATCGCGTCTCATGCGCCAGCTCGCAGGTCCAAAATGAAGGTCTCCATCGCTGGCAATCTCTGGCAGGATTCCAGCCCTCGTAAGATGCGCAGGCCTCTATCGCTGGCAGGCGCCATCGATCAAAACACGCATCGGCTTCTACCGCTGACAGGCGCCATCGTTCGCAGCAAGGTGGGTGCACATCGCCGGCAAGATTAGTGGGTCCCAGAGATCCGATCTCTTGATGCTTTTCCATATGGGGTCCCCGGAAATCTCAACCCATTCCCCAGGACCGGTGTTTCATCCTGAGTCGTTTCTTGACAGTCCCGGAGCCCGGCGAGGGCCCCTGTAGGCCAAAAGTTGCGAAAAACCTCCGCCTTGGTTTTTTCGATACGTTGGATCTCTTGTGTCTCTATGGCGGACGGGCGCCCATGGCAAAAGCGAGCTCCGTGGCTGCAGGCTCCGCCCCCTGAGAAGAGCGCGGGTCTGGAAAGACGCCAGCCTTTCTCGCAAAGCCTGTCTTTGACTCCAGCGCTGGCGTACGTCATCCCTTGGAAATTCGCTCAGTATGTGGCAAATCGAAATCAAAAAATCCAAATTCACAATAGCCACCCCGACACGCGAAGTCGTTTAGCAAACGCGCGCAAAAGAAGGAATCGAACAGGGCAGGGCTGTTTAGTAAACGCCCATGGCCTTTAGAAAACGCCAATTGTCCAGTCCGGTGGTTTTTCCTCCCTTGACAGAAGACCGCCAGAAGGCTCCATCGATCGCGAAACTTTCAGTTGGCGGCGCGGCAGAGGCAGTCCGCTCCAGCGTGTGGCACGTCGAGGCAACCGGAAGGCTAATTGGCCGGCGTGCAAGAAGGGGGGGAGAAAGGCAAGAGCGGCGGCGCGGGGGGAGAAGAAGGGGAAAGCGCCCAGACGCTCTATCGCGAAACACATGGACGGTCGATGTATTTCTCGAGGGATGGAGCCTTCTGGTCTATGACAGACCTCAATGATAGAGAGGATCTTCTGTGAGCCTCGCTTCACCGAGCCCTGTGCCCACTTGCGTGGCCTAGGCCCCACTGGCCGATTTACCCCCCTGGATAGGGATGTAGGCTGTTCCCGTCGGGCTTCGAGGGGTATATCCACACCTGGGGCGGTGGGGTGGTGGGGACCAGGATAGGCATGGGGATGAGGATCGGGATAGGGGATGGGGATGGTGGGGATCGCGATAGGGATGGTCGGGATGGGGATGGGGATAGGATGGTGGGGATCGGGATGGGGATTTTGGATAGAAATAAAAGGTCTGTGATAGATCTCTACCTCTGCCCGTCTGGCTCCGTCGCTGGCAGAAATTCCCAGGCCCCTGCCGCTTGCCAGCACGTCCCGTCTCTCGCAGAACACGTAGGTGGTGCCGCTGGCAGACTCCATCGCCCACATCATAGACGACTCTTTGTCGCTGGCAAGGCTTGTCGCCTTCCATTTCGTGGAGCTCCGATCCGATCCGATCCTCCTCGTTGTCACCCTCGCTCTCCACCTCATCCCTCCCTGGAACCGCCCTCGTGACTCCGCCAAGACACTGCCGATCTTGCACCAGCCTCACAGGTCTGGCCTGCGCGGTGCTCGCCCCGGCTTCCAGCAGAGACACCCGACATCCTCCCGACCCCCGGGGCGGCGAGGAGAAAAGTAGGATTAGGTCGGGCATGTCCTCCTACAGGCGGATTTTGGACGAAAAATGAAGAATACCCGAAAAATATGCAAAAATGATCAAACAAATATTCGAAAAATCGTCCCCAGACTCTTATTGGACTGTTTTTGAATATTCCCCCTGTAGAGGGAAAGGCCCGACTTAAAAGTAGGACCCGCCAGAAAAACAAGTTTCCTGCCTGGCCTCGGCAACACTCGCTCACAATTGGGCGCGGCTGCTTCGCGGTCGCCATCGCAGTCGCCGTCGTCGTTGTCGTCGAGTCGGTCGGTCAGGCGGGACACGCCGTCTTCGTATCATCATTCGCTGTCGCCCTCGTCGTCGCCGTCGCCACCGTCGTCGTCGTCGGAGAGTCGGTAAGCTGGACGGGCGGGCGTGTCAAGCCGTCGTGGTGTGCGGGTCGGGCTGGCGGGCGGGCGGGACACTTCGACGTCATCCTCGTCGTCGTCGCCGTCCTCGTCGTCGTCGTCGTTTGCCGGCGCCGCGGCGGGCGGGTGGGACACGTCGTCGTCATCGTGGTCCTCGTCGTCGTCGTCGTCCTCGTCCTCGTAATCGTCCTCGTCCTCGTCCTCGTCCTCGTCCTCGTCCTCGTCCTCGTCCTCGTCGTCGTTGTTTGCCAGCCAGCGCCGGGGTCGGGGTGGGAGGTTCAATCACCCCCTTCAACCCCCCAGACTTTCGCTTTCGAGGGGGGGGAGGAGAGGGAAGGTCACGACCCACCTTCTTGAGAGGGGGAGGGATCCTACCCCCCCCGCACCTGACTTCCTCGCGCGTACCCAGAAGTGGCCCGCCCTTTCCCCGATCCCCGACGCTCTCCGAAGCCTTGCCTCTTGCGTCGCTTCCCGACGCGCGCCTTGGCGTACGTGCCGAAGAAGGTCTTCCGATTCTCCTGGCCGATCGCGCCCAGTGCCGCCGAACCAGGGCGCCGTGTCCTCTCAGGCGGTGCCGCCACCGCCCCATCCCATCCTCTTCCGCCACCGCCCCCGCCACCGCCACCGCCCCAGACGGGGGGAGGAAGTGAAGACGAGAGCAGGGGAAGCGAGGAGGAAGAGGGGAGAGGGTGAAGGCAACCTAGGCGCGCTCGTGCCATATCTGATACCCTGCCCCTCCCACCCATCCCATCCCCTCCCCTCGTATTGCGCTGATTGTTTCTCTATCCGCGGACGCGTGTCACAGCCGACTTGGAGCTTACCAAAAAAAACGTCGTGTTATGCATAATCGGACAAGGGCAGCTGCGTATATAGGCAGAGGAAGGGGCGGATGAGCAGGATGAGCAGGAGGGAAAGGATGATGAAGAGAGATGAGACGAGGAAGAACAGCAGCAGCAGGATTGTCATGGAAGAAGCGGGAAGAGCAGGAGGACCAAGGGAAGGCGCAGGAGGGGAAAGGAGGGGGGAGCCAACGATGGATCCAGATCCAGACAAGTGGCCCACGCTAAGGCGAGAGCGCCACTCTGAACGACGGGAGCAAAGCCCCGATCCTAAAATGAGGCCCACACTGAAGCGGGAGCACCATGTTGGAGGACCGGGAACGTTCGGATTGAAAAAGGCATTGGAAAAGTTAGCTCGGCACCATCCTGCGTTAAAGACAAGACGCGGAGGCGGTCGCGCCACCCCCAGCCATCTCCCGGGGAGAGAGGAGGGTAATATCCGTCGACCCTGTCGGCGTCTGTGGGGTGTCTGTCTGGTCCCGTCGACAGGACGCCTTCTCTGTTTATCCTTCCCCGTCAGGGGTGGAAGAGTACTCTCCCGTCGTCGGGGGGAGGAGTCCGGGGGCTGAGGGAAATCGACCCACGTCGTAGTCACGTCAAAGGAAAGCCCCTTCCCTGTGTCCCTTCCCCGGCGGGGGGGTCCCAGAGGGGGGGGGGTCAGATTCGCATCCCCCGTTTGCGGCTTTTACAACGGGGCCTTCTGCAGGTGCGCTTGAGGAGGAGGGGTCGCCACGACGGATCCGCAAGAGCGCCCCTAGATGGCCCAAGCCCCACAAGACAGCCCAAGAACACCTCAGGACGGCCAAAGGGGGCCCCCAGACGGCCAAAGGACGCCGCCCAGATACGTTTCCCCCTCGAGCGCCCCGAAACCATGAAAAGCTGTTTCCAAAAGACCCCAGAATGTCACAACGCCTCCTCCTCCTCCTCCTCCTCCTCCTCCCTCCTCTCCTCCCCTCCCTCTCTCCTCCTCCTCTCCTCCTCCTTCCCACCCCATGCTCCCCCTCTCGGCTCCTCCACTGCCCTCCTCCGCCTCCCTCTCCTCCTCCTCCTCCTCTCCCTCCTCCTCCTCTCCTCCTCCTCCTCCTCTCCTTCTCCCTCCCCATCCTCGTCCTCCTCCCCTCCTCCTCCTCCTCCTCCTCCTCCTCCTCTCCTCTCCTCTCTACTCTCCTCCTCTCCTCCTCCTCTCCCCTCCTCCTCCTCCTCTCTCTCCTATTCCTCTCCTCTTCCCTCTTCCTCTTCCTCCTCCTCCCTCCTCCTCCTCCTCTCTCCTCTCCTCCGCTCCTACTCCTATCCTTCCCCTCCTCTCCTCCCTCATCCGCCTCCTCCCCCGTCCTCTTTCCCCCCCCCCACTCCTCCGCCTCCTCCTCATCCTCCCTCCTCCTCCTCCTCCTCCTCCTCTCCTCCTCCTCCTCCTCTCCTCCTCCTCCTCCTCCTCCCCTCCCCCCTTCCTCCTCCTCCCTCCTCCCCTCCCTCCTCCTCCTCCTCCTCCTCCCCCTCCTCCTCCTCCTCCTCCTCCTCCTCCTTCCTCCTCCTCCTCCTCCTCCTCCTCCTCCTCCTCTCCTCCCTCCTCCTTCCCCTCCTCCTCCTCCTCCTCCTCCTCCTCCCCTCCCCTCCTCCTCCTCCTTCCTCCTCCTCCTCTCCTCCTTCCTCTCCTCCTCCCCAGTCATCCTCCTCTCCTCCTCCCTCCTCCTCCTCTCCCCTCCTCCTCCTCCTCCTCCTCCTCTCCTCCTCCCCTACTCCTCCTCTCCTCCTTCTCCTCCTCCTCTAATCCTCCTCCTCCTCATCCTCCTCCTCCTCCTCCGCCTGCCCCTTTCCCACCCCCTCTCCCTCCTCCCCTCCTCTCCTCACCTCTCCTCATCTCCTACTCTCCTCTCCTCCTTCCTCCTCCTCCTCCTCCTCCTCCTCCTCCTCCTCCTCCTCCTCCGCCACCTCCCCCCCCCCTGCTCGTTTTCGTCGTCGTCGTCTTCAGGGTCGGCGGCACAGCCCCCCAGGGACGGCGAGGTCCCGCTCAGATCCCCGCGGTGCCTCACTCCGCAGGACCCACCAGCAGCCCTCCGAAGTGGCGACAGTGTCGCAGATCGCAGCCCCCCAGGGACGGCGAGGTCCGACAAGAGGAGACAAGACGGAAGCTGGAGACGGGAGGCGGGAGGAGAAGGAGGAGGAGAACTGGAGACCGCAGTGCTCTCTTCAGAACGAATTCACAACCAAGGAGGGTTGGGAATGTTCCAATCTGGTCGAAAAATAATCAACAAATCGTCCCCGGACTATTCTTATGCTACTTGTGAGTACTCCTCCTGCAGAAGGACAGGCCCGACTCGAGTGCAGCTGGCTCTCCGCAGCCGCCGGCGCACCGGAGCGAAAGTGAGCCCGGCGGCCGGACCGAAGCCAGCCGGGTGCGTTCCCTGTCCCTTGGAGGCCTAGAAATGGGCACCAACACCAACACAGGGAGTTGCCTCCACATGGGGAAGATGATCCTAGATTTCGGTGTTGGTGGCAATATTTCGGTCACCTCGGAAGCCAGAATATTACCACCATCATCGAGATCGGGATCTTCTTCCCTCGGTAGATGCACACCGCCGATATTGGTGTTGGTGTCAATCTCTAGGCCTGCGAGTCCCCCCCTTTTCGGGGGCGGCCAAGAGGAGGGCGTCCAAGAGGGGGGAGGGCAAAGCATGGCCAGCGGTACGTGCGCGGCCCAGGGGGGGGGGCCGGGGACGTGCTGAAACAAGAAGGGGCGCCACGAACGATGGAGAGATGTATCATGGCCCCCGCCAAAAGATCCCCCCCACTAGTCATCACCCCCCTCTTGGCCGCCCCCGACCTTTCTGGGAGGCACAGAGAAGTACTGCTACCCTCGTCAAAATGAACCTCAAAAATGGCGAACACGCCCCTGCGATGTCGGCGCGTCCTTCAGTGTCGATACGACGCCCCTCCAATGTCGGGGCCAGGGCAAAGGTGGTCTGACCGGAAACGACTCGGAAGTTCGATGATGACCGACATTGGAGGGGCGGCGCATACAAGTACCTCGCAGTCATCGCTACTCTGTCCAATATCTCCCCACAAACAGTTCAGCCACGTAAGACATTTGTGAGGTTAGTCTTGGCGAGGGTTGTAGTACTATCTGTCCTCCTTGGAGGCGCGCGTCCGACTCGAACATATAGCATACCCATGTTGCAGTGTATCGTGTCCCGAGCGGTGTGGCCAGAAGGCGTCCGCCACGACGCATATACTATGAGATTTCTCGGTGCGCGCGTCGGCCCTCGGGGGGTGACGCACATATAGTATTAGGTCGGGCGTGTCCTCCTACAGGGGGACACGCCCGACCTAATAAGATAGTCAAAAAATACTCCAAGAAATATTCAACTAATACTCGAAAAATATCGTCCCCATATTATTATCTGTTGTTTGTGAATTTCCCTCCTGTAGAGGGACAGGCCCGACTTCAATATAGCATAAGTATGTTGGGGTGACGCCGACGTTCGTCCGACCCTACCCTCCCCTCTGGACGGCCACCCACGAGATCCTGGCGAGTCCATTTTGTTGAGCCGGGCGTTCGCGCATCCAGCTTCGGGCCCCGGGACCCTCACAGACGGATCCGGCTCGGAGACTGGTGCAAAAGAGTGGGTCCGGGGCTGCAGTGGCGACGTCTCGCGATGTTTCAATCTTCTCGAGACGCCGGATCTCAGGGACGTGCGAGACTAGAAGAAGAGACGTGTGTGTCCCTGCAGGCCACATTTCCGAAAGAGCGGCCGGGGGCCCCAGAACTCGAGAAGAGCGCCTGCGGCCAGGCGTGTCCCAAGCAGGAGCAGCGGGGCTGCCCCATGCGTCGACCCGACCCGCCGGGGGTTCGGTCGGGCATGTCCTCCTACTGGCGGATCTTCGAAAAAAAATGAGAAACTGTTCAGAAAAAATCGAATGCGATGTGAGAAATGAGAAAAATGAGGAAATATCAAAATACTAAATTAGAAAAGGTAAACAAAACACGAAAAAGCGTCACCAAACCATTTTTACCATTCTTGGATATTCCTCCAGAAGAGGGACATGCCCGACTGAACGCAGGCGCAGAGCTCGCAAGTGGTCGCAGCACTCTTCCCACATCCTCCAGCTCCCCCGCTCCGCATCCCGCTGCGCCCCCGCCACCCCACATCCCCATCCTCTCCCGACTCCTCGTGGCCCCGGCCCGCCCCCCCCGAGGGGTGCACCTGGTGGAGATAAGCTGAGAGCGCTACCGGTCTCCCTTGCCGCCTGCCGCGTGCCCCCTCACAGGATGCGCACCCTGCATCGGTGCGGCAATCGCAGCTTCATCACGGCACCCAGGCCACCCTTCTCTGGCGGGTAGAGGTCGACGAGCCAGTAAAACTCCCAGTGGTCGATCTTGTACTTCGACTTGCTGTGGCCGTTGGGGGACTTGTTGGCGTAGACGTGGTACCTCTTGGGTTGCTGGACAATGGGGCCCTCGAGGTCACCGCCGTTCTCTGCGACGTAGTCCTGCAGGGTCTCCAGGGTCTCGAGGAGCTGATGGGGCTCGTTCGAGAACAGCTCGAGGCGGATGCGGTCCTCCGGCTTGCGCCTCTTGTGCGCCGGGATCTTGACCGGAGCCCACTGCCTGACGGCCATGTTCGGGGACATGATCCTCTTGATGTTGTTCGCCGTCAGGTGGTCCCGGACCGACAGGGACGAGTTGATGCCCTGCAGGGTCACCTTCGAGCGGCCGCGCGCCGCGAGCGCCAGAGCCGCGGCGAGCAGCGTGGACACGAGGGGCGCGGAGCTGACGAGGCGGGTCCTCGAGCTCCCCTGGACGAAGTGTCCTCTGGGCTGCGACGCCACCTTGGTCGTTGGTCGTGTCGTCGGGTCTCCGGGCACGAGCCGAGGAACGGCGGACACCGCTGCGCATGGCCGCGATGGGCGGTCGGGGGATCCTGCCATGGGAGAACTCGAGCACTGCGATCGCGACCGAGATCTTTCCCTGCGAAATCTTCACGATCGCAAAACGCAAAGAAATCAGCACGAGGAGGAACAGCATCGAGGGCTAAGGAAGACCATGAAATGAAGCCGACACAATTGCACGCGCCAGCGCAAACATAAAAGCAGAAGGATGGAAACGAGTACAATCGCTTTGCCTCGCTTGGCGAGAGCACCAGGTTCGGTCCGTAGCCTCCAACGATATGCTTACACAACAGAGGTTCCACCCATAGGGATTCGCACATAGGGTTCCACACGTACTTTGCAGCCCATTGGGTTCTATACGTAGGAATCTGCACATAAGGTTCCATGC